TTTTGACTTCAAAGACAGAAAGGCATAGTTCACACTCAGATGTAAGGCTGCTGTTGCTGAGAAGGCCACTCGAGCAAAAGATTGTCATCAGGCAGAAAGGTTTAACCATTTTGACATGTAAAGTCTGCTGCTGCTCCTGAGAAAAGAAATAGACCACATGGTGACCTGGGACTTTAAAAGACTTGTAATGTTATTGAAGATGATAAATGAAGAACAATCTTCTAAATTTTCATAATTTTCATATTCATAGACATGTGAGAATTTGTCTCAAATTGAGGATGCCTGTTCCAAAAATTTGAACAATCATCAAAAAGACTCGGAAAAGAAGCTTTGTCGAGGTAGATCAACCTTTTCTCAACCCAATTTCAAATTTCATCTTAGATTTTAAGCTTTCAATCTTTGAACCTGTGTCATTTTGATTTTTGAACTTTTCAAAGTGAGTAAATTTCTTTTTTTTGATAAAAAATTGATTTAAATGAATTGTTGCTTGAAATGAAAGTTGTGAAAATTGTATTGTTAAGGAAAGCATTTGCTTTACACAAACTAGTTTTCTAAAGGAAAACAGATTTGTATTTGAAAGAACTGTTAACCTGCCTTGATAATTTGAGGAGCACAAGGGAATTTTTGTGCAAGGTCTATATTGTAATTTGTACAATTTATATATTGTGAAAAACATTTTTGTCAAATGTTTGCTTCTGATTTCACTCAGACTAAGAGTTTTGTATTTTTTCATTTAATCTATTTAAGATACTCAGGATAAGAGACTTAACGTTTTCTCTTTTTCTCCTAAAAATTCCTCTTAATGTTTCACAGCAAAAATGGTCAATTCTTTAAAGTGTGGCTAGTGTACTGGTATTAAACAAATCCTGGAGCATATCTTACACTGCAAGATCATGGGACTATAGGTAATAAACCCTATTTCCAACACAATTTCATACCCAGATACATACCATATTAAAATACACCCAAACTTTATTTTCTTCCCAATAACAGACAATGTTTACAAACATGCCAAAAAGATTCTACAATGCAACACACACAATTTAAATCAGTGTCTATTGTTTAAAAATTAACATCCCCATGTGAAATATTTGACCAATCAGAGAAAACTTTATATTTCTTGAGTCTCCAAGCCATTCCAACACAATAGAAAATGTGATTACATAGCTTTTTTCTTCTCCATATCATATGTCAGCAACTGCAAATGAATAATCAGTAGGGACAGTCAGTGAATCTTCACTGGTGATCAAATTCTTTTCTCAGCCTTCAATCTTTTACTGTGAACCAACTACTTAAAAGTCTTTTCTCAACCATAGCTTTTTACTGTGGATCAACTACCCAAACTACCAGACTTTAACTCAACTAAAGACTATTTTAACACCTTTTTGATTCTTTTGAATTCATGTACATATGTTTATAAATATAAATGACTTATTTAACCGGCATATCCATGTTTTCTTTTTCTTTTCTTCTTGTTTGGAATTTGGAAATTCATATTTTTAATATGAAAAAAACCTGGATGACTGAATTACTTACAAGACTATTGGATAAACTTGTTGAAGAATTTATAGTTCATATTGTTATGATGATCAACTTAGTAGCTGTAGATATCCTATTGACTCAAAGTTGCCTGTGAACTATAGTGAACTATATATATATATAGAACTCTTTATGCTAATTACATATTAGCTAAATCAATTCCATTACATCTCCCTGAATCTTTTGGGTTTCACAACCTGCATTGATCTACGGCTTCTCCTACATTCCCTCCACCTCTCACTAGTTTCATGAGTATTTCTTGTTATGGGGGAACTTGATCTAGTTCTTTTATTCTCAGTGTCCCATGTTTTGTACTCTGAATCTTCTGAAGAACTTCATTGATTCCTCTGCCCTGCTTTCTTGTTCATCTACATAGTCATTCAAACTAGCTTTGCTTTGTACTTCCTCATAATTTTGGGTAACTTTTGAGCAACATTATTTTTACCATTCTTGTATATTAATGCCATGTTGTATCCTTTTTGCATTATGAAATTTACCTTTTCTGACTCGTTTTCTTTATTTCTTTTGTACCATATGTTTTCATTAATAGTTCATAAAATTCACAATATCTGCTGGTATCTCTTAACCTTCTTATAGGCTCCCCAAATTCTTGTTTCAATGCTAAGAATTTGGTTCATTTGATTATGACCAATCTTTTCTTTTGTTGAATATTTCTCAATATTATTTTTGACTTCCTTACATGTCAAGTTTTCAATTTCAGCCAGGTAAGTCATTAACAAAATTTACCTAATGGCTTCACATTCCAGTGACCAAAAATAAATCCATGATTTCTTTCTGTCCTCTAGGTTTTTGGTCATCTTGTAACTTCTTTATTCTGGCACATGCCTCAAAACATTCTATCCAAATCTTTACATTTTCAGGTTCTTCTATGTTCAACAGAGGTCCATCAGGCAATGACATTTTGTCATGATGATCAAACTAAGTACACTGACTCAAAGTTGCCCGTGAGCTATAGTTATAGCTCTCTTTATGTTAATTACCTATATTAGTTAAACCAATCCCATTACACATATGTTATCTGAAACTACTTTTGCCTGCAATAATCTAATATTGTCTTTCAATAAGAGGAGATACAGTGCATTTTTGTGCTTTGCTTAGTCAAAATTTGGTTAAAATTTTGCTCTTGTAAATATATCCAACTTAAAGAAAAAGTAAAGAAAAAAAAAGAAAGCAGAGTAAGTGAAGATCCAAAATGTTTATATTACAGAAATTGTTGAGTTAATTTACAAAAATTGTTTTTAATTGTTTTAGTTCAGTTTCTTCTTATGAAAGTAGTTTTCATACAACATAATATAAAGATAAATACAGGAAGATTTTTTACTACTTAAACTCAGACTATTATATCTGACTGTAGACTGCCTACTTGATATGTTGTCCTTTTATTTATACTTGACACACATATGCAGTGGCAGACACAAAATGCACATGAATATTTAACAGAACAATCTTTCTCCATAAATTGTAGTTTAATTATATATTAAGTTGCTATCCACTCAGTAGGGATATCATATCTTATTATTAATTTTCAATACAAAGAGATTTTTATTTTGTCTGAAACTGATTAATTAACAGAATATATCATCGTAGCCCTTGCTACTCTGTACACTTGACCAAGGCAGACGCTTCGACCATGACCTTTCTTCTTCACATTGCCTACACACACCCTACAAATTAATTTCATTTATTTTCATAATTGCCCTAATTACTTTTTAGTTCTTTCTGTGTTACAAACCTAGTCATAATACACTTGACAACAGAAGTCTGCACCAGTGTCAGCAAGGCTTTATATTGTTACAGTTCTCTTTTTTTTTTGTCTGCTGGACACTAGTTGGGCTTTTACTTTTGATTTTTACTTCTGGCTTCTTGTGCATTTGTACTTCTGGAACTCTTGGCCTTTACTACTTCCAGCACAGCTATTGCCCTCTATTACTTCAGGCCACCACAGACCCTTACTTCTGGCATTCTTGGCCTTGCTAATTCCTGCTACCATGGACTCTTACTTTTGTCTACACTCTGGTCCCTGCTCCCGACATCACATCAACCCAACCCAGTTGGTTGACAGCATATGGACCTGCTCACTACAGCCCCAAACTTCCAGTTACACAGCAGTCCCTACCTGCATATCGTTGCAGGCTCTAATAACCTATTCTGTACACTACGGTTATAGCGCTATGGGAGGTTCACCACTGAATCTGGCCAGCAACTACGTAACGCCAGCACCGGACATCGGATTTGACCAGCAACAGGCATCGGACCAACAGTAACCCAACGCCAGCACCAGCAATTGGATTCGTCCTGCCCCTTCATCAGACTCACATGCTTACCTACAACGACTCTGGTCTGTATTGTAAATAAATTTTGTATTAATCTTAAAATAATCCTCGTTCTGTTGTCCATTTTGTTTCATCTGTTAGATTTCATGTCTTTGATTTATAAACGTTAGTGGGCCTCTTGTGACCTCATTTGGGTGCTCAGGCCATATAACATCGTCCCTTCCATAACTGTTATAATTTAAATCTGTCTAATTTGTTAATTTTAACAAATTTAATTTATATAGATTTTTTAAAAAGTTTTTCTTCACAATCACTTCAAATTCAAGTGTTATGATTTTGATGATATATCAAATGGATTTAACATTAAACTTTTTTTCTAATCATTTATTTTATTTGTTTACTTTAAAGAAACATCAGTGTTAAAGTAAATAATAAAAATGACGTTTTGGTTGGTATCACTGGCAGTTTAAGACCTTTTTAGGTGACATATAATAAAAAAAAAACTGTGTCAGTTCAGCCCCCAAAATATTTTTTTAAATTAATACTGAATCTCTTAATTTTCATTCCAGTCAACACAATACGGGAAATATTTTAAAGTTGTCAGGTACATCGTGTGGAAATGGTATTTTTAATGTTTTTATTCGATATTGTGGTCAAAAGAATGAAAATTACAACTAAGTTAGTGAACGCGACGAGCATCACTGAATCAATGTAGGTAGCCGAGCATGAAAGACTTATTTACAAACTTCCACCTTCAATTCTATCTTTATCACATCCATTACTTATGAATTAAAAATATATATATGTAGCGTGAAAAACAGCCATACAATACTGAAGATTAAGCTGTATTTTTTAAAGTCACACGAGAAAAGGGAGATCATTCACAGATTATGTGGTATGTTATTGGGAGAAATCATTTAATTGATAAATGATTTTTGAATAAATTTTTAGAATCAAACAAATATGACTTTTTAATAATGATATAATTTTAACCTTTGATCTGAAGAGAAAAATAAAAGTGAACTTACTGTTTGTTTTTTTCCAGTTTCTTGGTAAATACTTTTCAGCAGACTAAATGTTAAAAAATATTGAACACTCCCTCAAATGCCGGATATAAAAAAAACAAACTTCAATTGCTTTGAGTTTTATAGAATTAATCCTGGAAAAATGTTCCATTCGAAAGCCTTCATAGCTTGTTTACTTTTTATTTTCATATCCCTGGCAACAACTTTCCCACAAAGAGTGTCACAACCTAAAATATGTGGATATAAGGTTTGTAAATTTAGTTAAAATGATTTACTATTTTTTATTTTAGATGGAAATGGAAGTGGTTTTATAAAAACTTTTTATGTTATTTTTTTATTAAAAAGTAACGTATCGTTAAGTAAAAGTTGTTTAATTTTCTTTTTTTTTTTTTTTTTTTTTGTTTTTTTTTTAGTGAGATTTTTTTCTCGGATTCTAATATGAATTGATTTTTAGTTTTATATGGGAATTTATGTGTATTTTTCTTTTATTATGTATTAGTTGTTGACACGGATGTTAAATTTCATTTTAATTTTTTTTAATTCGCTTAACTCTTGTTTACGTTTTCAAAACTCAAAACATTAATTTCAAAATTCGGTTTTGATGTTTTTTTCTAAAGTTATTTACTAGTTCCGGTTGGTACAAAGAGAAACAAGGTTTTTTTAATCAAAATTTAGTTTAGAATGTTCTAAAAAGAAAGAAAAATTTGAAAAAATAATTAAAAAAAACTTTGGTCTTTCCTCTTCATAATAACATAAGCATTTAGACGATAAAATTTTGTTTTCGTAAAGTTTGGCGTCTTTTTTCAGCAGACTATGCTCCTTTTTTAGTGATTTCGTGGAGGTACCGTGTTCTGACATCAAGGTCATAGATCAATCATGCACAGTACTCTTCTATTATTTACACTACATAGTGAAATAGTGTAACTTTTACACTATTTACTAACTTACTATTGTCCTCATCTTTGTTGTTGTTATCGCAACGTTTCAGCCGTTTTGCCTTCGGACCTTCATCAGGTGCATGTCGATCCGGGCCTTCACACTAAGGCTGCAAGGCAGGATTGTAATTAATTGTAGAACAAGGACAAGGTCGAATACACAAAAATGTATGCCATGCATATGGGCTAAGGAAAATATTGTCCAGTCCCCAAAACCACTGTCATGCTGCTGTCCTTCTTAATTGGAATCCCCGGGACCTTTTCCCAGCTAAAATGAGAAGAGTTTAACTTTACTCTCTGCCTACAAGCAAACTCCTGTGCTGGGAATCCGGGTAACTTACAGGGAATTTTGAACTGAACACTTCATTTAATCTACTGGGGTATATTGTTCTCATTCGATTGCCCTTGTATAGGGATATCTTGCTAGCATTATTCAGCTATTGCTTGCTCGGTTTCCATTGAGTTCAAGGTCCAGGGATTAATTAGATCACCATAGTAATTCATAAGGCAATGCTTTAATACCTTGTGGATTTTATTTTTGAGATTAAGAGAGATTGGAGTCTGCTGGACTAAACTGAAACAGGACCTTATATATAAAAACTAGCTTAAAAGCCACACTATCAGGTGGCATTTAAGCTAGCTCCTGCGGAGGGCTCTTGATTTGGTCTTCATCAAAATAAGTAGAGAGGCATAGATGCAATAGGCAACAATAAACTACAGAACTCAAAATTGATTGCTGTATTAAGTATTGCATCAATATTTAAGCTTACCTTTTAAAAGTTCAATGATAATTTTTCTGCTGCCACTTAAAGACACTTTAAAGACAATTTGATGTACATAGGTCCTTACTTTTTGGACAATTATTTTTATTTCATGGGTGACTTTTGCTAGGTTTCATAATTAATTTTGATTATTTCCAAGTTATAAAAATTGTTATCATACAAAAAATCACGTAAAAAAAAATTGCCAAAAACAATCGCAGTAATGAAAATGGTTCAAAAGAGCTGTCTGTGAATTTTTCAATGTTGAATTTTGATTGGTTAGAAAATATTAATTCTTATGGTCATTATAGTGTGTGCTTCCTGCTATGATTGCATATTCTCTGAATAGTGATTTTGGAGTACAGTATAAATCATCATTGTGGCATCAAAAAATTAATAAAAGTAAAATATATATGATGAAAAACTGATGCACATCTATTTGACAAATTGCTAAACACATTTACCTATCTATCATCTTCATAAAGAAATAGTAAAATTCTCTGCTATCCTTTGTGGGGTATGAATGTGCTAATCTTTGTTGAATTGATAGATTTTGTTTTGTTTTTCCCCAGAGTTGTAACCCAGTCAAAGAAGGAATGATTAATGTGCATTTGGTACCACATACACATGATGACGTTGGCTGGTTGAAGACAGTTGATCAGTATTATTATGGAGGTAATTTTCTGTGTAAATGTTTTAGTGTTCTTTTTTTTTTTAAAAAAGAAAAAGGGAGATCAATTTTTTAAATAGTGCAGGTGAAACGAGAAATAAAAATAATTATGTTAATCCATGTTTAATATATCTATGAAACTGTTTACTAGTCTGTCTCAAAAACATTGGCATGTCCAGTTTTTTCAGTTTCTTGCTTACACACTAGACTATGATCCCATGGAGGAAAACAATGATCATTGTTTTCCTCCATGTTCTGTTTGAGCTGCAATCAATTATTCTTTTTAACCAAGAAACCTATGTAATACCTAAAAAGCTGAAAGGAAATGGGTCGGGAAATGAAGTAGAAGTGGGGAAAATTTAGTCTAATGGGGGAAAGGTAAAAGATAAGTTGGAGAAAAATAAAAATAAAACCAGATGAAATGAAAAAAATATACAGATGAGAAGGAATGTTGATAAAAGACAGCTTGTTGGCTTCATATGTGACAATGAGTGAAAGGTGGGTAGGAAAGGAAATGTATAAAAATGTGAGATATAGTAAAAAAAAAAAAAAAATCAGAGGAGGTAAAGTTGAAAATATTTAGGACCACTTATCAATTTTTCTTATCCCAAATTATTCCATTTTTGCATAACATAAAAATATTGATAAGTAACAAAGATTGAGAAGTTAGGATGAGTGAGGATAAAGGTCTGAGATAATAGATAATCTTAATTGTCATTACCTGTGGACTTTGTACAGTGCCAGATAGTTGAAATAAGAATATTATATTCAGTAGTGCCAAAAATCATTTGTAGGTTATACATATAATTGATAAGCAAGAAAGTGTAGCTGATTTAAAAATATTTTAGTGTTTATTCACATCATCCTGATAAACCTTGTGAATATTAAAATATCTTGTTTATTAATCAAATTATGTTTTACTGTCATCATTTTTTTTTTAATTATATAATTGATGACCAGCTGAAGTTAAGTAATTTTGATGTGAAACTTCATTACAACAGTTAAAGTCTTGATAAATAACTTTAAAAAATTGAAAATTTTTTTTTTTTTTTTTTTTTTCAGCAAAGAACAAAATCCAAAATGCTGGTGTGCAATATATTCTGGATTCTGTTATCCAGGAATTATTGAAAGATCCAAGCAGACGATTTATTTATGTGGAAATGGCTTTTTTTTGGCGTTGGTGGCATGAACAGTCTAATAATATGAAACATGTTGTGCAAAACCTGGTTAATGAAGGTAACACAGCTTTATCTCCATTACTTTTCCAATTGTTTTTTATAATGAAAATACAGTTAACATGTCTATCTGAGCGAGATTATTAAAGGAAATTTGATCTTTTGACCCATTTGAAATTCCGAGAAAAAGGTTTCTGGACTACATTAAATTCTTGATATTGAAATTGCTATCCAAATATGTAGTCTTCTTCAGGTGTCTTATATGTAGGAGTTTTTGTGCATTTCAGCCTTAATCAGTTGATGAAAAAAATAAATTTGTGCATTGTACAAATATTTACAGCTTGCAATAGCACTTTATTGACAATATTTTCTGTTTGTTTTAACAAGTCAAATAAAAAAAGTTTATAGAAATTAGAAAAAATGTATAAAACAAGTCTATTATTCTTTCAGATGTACCATTATAAGTGAATAATGCAATCTTTTTAAATGACTTCTTTCTAGATATCTTGCTTATCTTAAATGTTTAACTATCAATATTTGACCTTAGACCAGTACATCATTTAATTCCAAAGTTGTCCATTGTTGGGTGATGACAGATTAAAATTTGATAAATAGTTTATACAGATTCTTCAGTTACACTGTTTATTTTCAGCTAAACAATGGCTGACATTTTTAAAAAGTTAGATCAAGCGAATAATGAGATGCAATTTATAACTGATTATTTATAACTCTATTTAATTAGAAATATCTGGGACATGTTTTAATTAAGGCTATTTGATACTAACATCATTATCATTACTTTAAATTAAGTTTGCTCTGCTTAAACTTTGAACTATAGATAAAGAAATATGTATATGTAAAATACATAAAAAAATAATTATTATTTTAAAGTTAAGTGACGCTATTGTAGATAGATATATTTATGTAAAATATATATATATATATAGTTACATATGTTTCATTGTTTGAAAAGGCTTCTTTGTTCATATATCTTTTAAATTCCTATATGTTTCACCATTTTTACAGTTTCTCCTGTAAATTCTTGTTTAAAGTTTTAGTTTATTATTTTATTTATATTAAATCTGTTTTTTAAGTAGTAGTAACAAATTTTAAGTTTAGATAAATTCTTTTCAGTTGTAGTCAATATTTAGTTGGTAGTTAGTATTGTTTTGTTTTATCAAGACCTATTTATTTTTTCTAATTTTATGAGTCTGATGAGCTTTATGACAAGCATTAAATATGAAATAGTTAAGATAGTGGGGGGGTATTTAAAAGTTTTTTTCAATGTATTTTTCATCCTGTAAATATTGAGGGCTACAAATAGTGCTTTTAAATAGAAATAGATGATTATTCCAGATTTTATTTTGTTGTTAAAGCATTAAGAGAAATTTATCATTTTTATTATTGGATTATTATTATTATTATTTTATTATTATAAACAGTTTTAGATCATTATCAATACAGTTTAACATGAAGGAAAGGTAATGTATTTCTGTTTCATAAGTAAATTCTATCATGCATTTAACTTTGTTTAGTTTATCTACAAGATCAGCTAATACAGTTTTGTAGGGATAAAGCATCATCATTATATCAGAAATATGTTGATTGTTTAAGTAAATTATTTTAGAAGTACCAATCTCTAAAAATTCCAAGCTACAACTACTAAGAGTAGATCTCATCAGTAATCCAAATTTCTTTTTTTATAAAATCATTGTTGAAAGTGAAATGACCTTGGCTTTTAATGACTTTTTATTTTTTTCATCTATTGGTAGGTTAATATTTTGTTTATTTAGGAGTTAATTTTTTATTGTACTAGATCTTTTTTTTTTCTTTTTTAGGAGATTCAAGCATAACATAATTGCTAACAATTTTACACATCATATAATGTACATCCTAAAGATTTAATTAATATGCTCTGAAGTCTAATGTCCTACTATGAGGCACTTCAACAGCACTTAATTATTTGAAAGTAATTAAATTTTGAATGTTAAAAAGAATTTTAGTTATTTTTCTTACTATTTTTCAGGACGTTTGGAGTTTATTCTTGGAGGTTGGTGCATGAATGATGAGGCCACCACACATTACAGTGCCATCATTGACCAACATACACTAGGTTTTGATGTCCTCTCATCAATTTTTGGTGACTGTGCACGACCAAGAGTTGCCTGGCAAATTGATCCCTTTGGTCACTCAAAGGAAATGGCTTCTTTATTTGCACAGGTTTGCTATTTTGTATATTAATTATCAAAAACTTTTTCCATTTTATTTGATAACTTACTGTTTGGCAGCTTTCACTAAATGTCAAGTCACTTCTTATAGAATTTATATTATAATTATTTGCAAATTCTAATTATCACTAAGCTTAATTAGTATCATTAATTGCTATTAAAGTATCATTACAGGTAGGTTACAATGACTGACAAAGGAATGCAAACATGTGAATGGAAATACTTTGTATTTAGCAGTTATGAAATCTGGAGTTGTCTCCTTTAGACATTTTTTTGTCAATTTATCTCAATTGATTAAAAATGATTTGGAAATTGGTAAACCAGTTGGACTAGAATTTTTTTTCTTTTTTACAGTAAGGTTAATCTTGTACAAGGCCCAGAGTAGTGGGGTACTTGAGGTAGAGGGTTGCTTTATTCTTTAGACAGTATAGCACTAAAAAAATTGTACTATGATGTGCTATTTTTACTGTGTTATAGTAAAAAAAAAAAAAAAAATACATATTAATAATAATCATAATATTAGATTTATTTTATTAAGTTTTATAATTTATTTACAAATGAAAATTTTGCCACTAGATATGTTAGCTCTTTGGGCAGCTATAGTTTTAGATTATTTTTGCTGAATATTTTATATAGTTTGCTTGATTTTCAAAGTGTTTGTGTTTGATTAATATTTTACCTGTATTTGGTTTTGCATTTTTTTTATTATACAATTGGTGGAAAATGCTTCTTATTGCTGCATTTTTCTGTTCTGTTTCATATAAATTAAGTTTGGTTGAAAAAGCAAATTTTTTTTTTTTAAATATCATTTCATAATCGTTTTTGGCTTAGTTTGAACTCTTTCTTTTTTTCCATTTAACAAGTTGTCAGATGGATTATGATGGGTGGATGGTTGTAGAAGGTGTGTAAAATGGGTTGTCATTTGGTTTCCTGAATAGTTTGTATGAGTAGTTTCTTGTTTAAGATTGTGTTTCCGGTTCCTTCTAAAGTCTTCTCATTCTCTTTCACTCCTAGTAGTTTCTTGTGTCTTAGTGGCATTATCACCTGCCTCTTTTTAAGGTTGAGTGTTACGTCTAAGAAATTTACCTCTCTTAGGTTTTTTTTTAATGTTGATTTTGAATGTTTATTTCTTTTCTAGTTTTATCTGTTTTTCACTGTTTCAGTTTCTTAGGATTATGAACCTGCTATCTTTGTTCATCTATATCTTTTTTGTTAATTATACTAGCTAATGTTTGTAGCATATATTCCAACCATTTAACAGGTTAACAGTAGTGATGTTTGTGTGTTCCATTGCTGGCCTTATTTAATATAAGTTCAGCAATGGATGGCTAGAATTCTTTAATATCAAGCTGGGTCAATGTATAGTTCTGTATGTCTTTTTATTATATACAACCAGTTTGTAGTGATAGACAAAATGTTATCTCCACTTGACCAAACAAAAATAACAATAAAAATTACTTATAAATATTCATGAGAATTAAAAACAGTCTTGTGACCTGACAAGACCTGCATGAGACATCATTAGGTGGAAAAGTTTTGCTCTAAGAAGTTAAGGTATCAAGACGCATGCAATTCGGGCTCAGGACAAACCAAGCAGATAAGTACAAAAATTCATATTGTTTTTGGTACATAGTCTTTTGAAAACAGATACTTTATATTAAGAATTTCAAGTATAAAAGTTATATATGCAATTGTTTTTATATGAAGACTTTTGTGTTTTTGAACTTTTTCATGTATTTTTGTCATGTTTCATTCACTTTAAATGAGGTCAATACCTCATATCTAGCACAGCATATTCGATGACCACAAAGAAAAACAAAAAAAAAACAACACATTTTGATAACCACATATTTGGTGAATTCCAATATATATATATATATATATATATATATATATATATATATATATATATAATAAATCAGGAAAAAAAAAAAAGATCCATTTCAGTTATAATTTATTTCATGAATCTTGTTATATTCACCTCTTCAGACTGAAAGTTCTTAATGGGACAATTCATCCAGACTGATATACTAGATTAATAGGATGAAGGGAAAGCAAGCAAGAAAGGGGGAGAGGAAGAAAGAAAAATAACAAATTTTTGAATATAAAATTATTTTTAAAACATAAGAGGGAGAAGCAGGGGAAGTGAGAGTGAAGGAAAGGAAAGAATGAAGAATAAATTATGGGATAGTAGTAAAACTAAAAATAGAATGACCTGGCCAAAAATTTTTTCCTTAAAGAGTTGAGCAAGTTTGTACATCAGGTGATGTGGTATATGATCAAACTTACAGCAAATTGTCCATAGATTTTAGGCAGCAATAATCATCACAAATTCAAATTAGTTAGTCTAATAATGATAACACTATTTAAAACAATAATAATATCTAATATAAATAAATTAATTAAAATAAAGTAAAATAAAAAGATTTTTTAATAAAAAATAATAACTAATTTATTTTAATTAATTTATTTATATTGAACATTAATATTATTATTAAGGTTTTTCTTGATTTATTATTATTATTATATGTTCTGTATTTTACATTGAGCTCTGTTTGGATTAATATCCTCCTTGGAATTATCCCTACCAGTCACAAATTGGTATATATATATATATATATATATATATATATATATAATACAAAGAAAAAATAAACAAAATAGAGCAAGAGCATCACAAACCGACTATCCAACAAATGACAATTACGACACCTAAATTCATGCAAACTAACATTACCTGTTGGTTCACAATTATAGAATCTCAATTCTATCTGAGAATTATAACTTCACAAATTCGCAAATTTTATAATCTCTACCTCTGGAAATGGTGGCGAAAATACTGGATACTCACAACTAAATTAAAAAAGACTTTTATTGAAGCACATGAAAAACAAAGCCAGAACTGCTATCTAAATTATGTCCACTTCCATTATTACAGGTTGACGGTCAATTTACCGTCAGGAAATGTTGTCAATTGCTAAAAAGACTGGAGATAGGCAATAGCACAAATTTTTACAAGCATTACCAGCTACCATCACCCCAGTGTTAGTAAAAGAAAAAGATTTAAACCCAACCAAGCAGAGACAATTGTCAGATGAATTAATACAAGGACTTGCTAAAATAAGCCCGTGTAACCAAATTCAGATGAAATAAGTGCCTCAGCAATACCATATGGTCTCAAACCTTTCCAAAAGGGACAATTACAAAATGTATGTAGAGCACACATTTATCATGTGAACAAGGTGGGTTCATGTACCCACTGGTGCAAATAGAACAAAAAAATAAAAAGAATTGATACAACAGCCAAGTTTGCATTCATATTCACCAGCAATGTTGGGGACAAAAAAGTTTTCATTCATAATAGATACTGATGTCATCTATCATTCCATAAAGTTTCAACAGTTTATCAATGGAACCTACACCAGTTTCTCTAACTTCAGCTACAGGCTCAGACATATGCTGCTTTCGACGATGTTTTCTGTGGACATTCGTAGTAGCAGATATTCAATACCCCCTACTAGGATTCGACTTCCTAAACAATTTTAGATTGCCAATGGAAAACAATCATCGATCCTGTAACATCGTGTTCAAAGAAACTAAAAACATTTAACGACTCTATCAATTTAGTCATAAATAATATGCCTGATTTTATTAAAGGCTTTATAAAAGTATATCCCAAGATTATATCTGCACATACCAACCCAGCTAGCACATATATAAATTTTCCAAGCATAGCTTAGATGTGGCACAAGGCCGAAAGTATGGGGCACTCAGTGAGGATCAAACTCACTACTAAGTTGTAATTGTTCTAGCGAGACAAGCTTGCTAACCATTACACTGCCTCAAGGTGCCCAACCCAGCTAGCACATATGCAGGAGTATACCATAGAATTGCTCCTACTTTTGCCAAGGCTAGACATCTATCAGAAGAGAAAAGCCAGGCAGTAAAGAGGGGAATTTTTGAAATTGCAAAACAATGCTGTCATTACACCTTATAGTGAATGGGCTTGCATCCTACACATTAAAAAAAAACAGATGGAAATTTCAGATGCTGAGGTGATTACCATACAGCATTACCAAAAGCAATAAATATTCCATCCCAAATATTAATTCAATTGTTGATAAACTAGCCACCAAAACAAGATTTAGCAAAATCGACCTGGTATCAGCTTACCATCAAATCAAAATGCACCCAGATGATCCTTTCGATCCTACTCAAGAATTGGAGAAAGAAAAATTTATTTTCATTCTCCTTAAAATGAAAATTTATCTTTTCTCTGTCTTTATGCACTTATTTTATGATCAACTAGATCACACAGCCTTCTTGCTCATGGCCATTTCAGAATAGTAATTAATTTTTCCTTTACTACTTGTATCCAAGGGAATCTGAATTAATGTTTGCATATAAAATTTTCTCTGGAAATTATCTTTTCTCTGGAGTGGTTGATTCGAAACGTAAGTTTTTATTTTATCTTTGTGGATACCTTAATAGTCTCTTATCGGTGGGAGGTGGGGGAAGAATGGGCAGTTTTTGGTTTGTTTAATCTTACTGATTTTCATCTAGTTAAATTCTCCTTGGAATTATCTCAAAATATGATTTTTCAATGCATTTCATTTTTAATTTTCTTAACTTTTCAACGCATCTTCCTGCAATTTCAACAATTATCATTCAATTAGTAGACTCTCTCTTATTCCTTTCTTTTTTTTTTTGTTTGATCAACTTCTAGAGATCTCAGTTTCACATCAGCATATTCAGATTACAAAAATTCATATTGTTTTTGGTCAGTAGTCTTTTGAATGTAGATACATGCTAACTTTGTATTAAGAATTTCAAATATAAAAGATATATTTGCAAGTGTTTTATATGAAGACTTTCGTGTTTTATTTGAACTTTTTCTTATATTGTTGAATACTTCATTCACTTTAAATGAGGTCAATGCTTCATATCCAGCACAAGTCTATTACTGATCTTTTTTTTCTCTACCTTGGTTTAAATCTAAAGTGATCTACTGTCTGAAGATTGCTTGAGGCCTGAAACTGACAGTCACCATACAATGTTGGTTTCTGTGTTAAATATTTTGGCTAAATAAAAAAATTAAAAAGAACAAAAATTTTGACATATTGAATTAAAACAATTTTCAACCACTCCAATTTTTTAAAAATATTGGTTCATTCAATTTTTTATGGAATTTTAAAAGCAATGAAATTTTTAAAGATTTGAATTTTCCAGGTGCTTTAATTATCTACTTTTTGTTACATTTTCAGATGGGATTTGATGGATTATTCTTTGGTCGTGCTGATTACCAAGATATTATTAATCGATTCTTGAAAAAACAATTAGAAATGGTTTGGAAAGCCAACGAAAATCTTGGTCAGTATTTTTATTTTTTAAAAATATTTTCCATTTATACTTTCATGCATTGTATAAATGATGCAGATAACTTTGTGTGTACCTTATATCTATGAATATAAATAAGAAAGTTAGATTTCATCTCGGACCAAAATTGAAAGGTTTCATGTGAAACATTAATAAGTAAATATAACAGCTGCTTCTTTATAAATGTGTTGACTATTTTGTATTTCCTAAAATAACAAAATCAATTTTTCGTATGCACTTTGCGTGGGTTAAGGTATATTTATTTATTCTATTAGATAATTTAATTCTGTTTATCTTTATAAAATAGAAAAATATAATTAACAAATAGGTTACTAGTTTCTGTAAAAGTTTTGGGACTTTGTCATTAATAAAATGAACTGTGAATTATTTTATCTAGGTTCAACCACAGCAGTTTTTCATGACTATGTAGATACAATAAAATCTATGAAGTAAGATCTTCAAAGCAGTCACCTGCCAGGGTTTGTATAGGCTCTGGAAACCTGGAAAAGTCCTAGAAAATTGACAGTCTTTTTTAGGGCTTGAAGAGTCCTTGAAAAACAGCAACTAGAATTTTCTAAATTGGGCTGCCCACATATCCCTTTTTACAATTCATGAAAATCAAAATGCCAAATCCCAGAAATCTGGCTTTTTTATAAGCTAAAATTGTCTTTTAAGAAAAATTTGTTTTAGTTGGCAGTAATATTTGGCAATTATTGCGAACAATGGTTTTTTTTCTTTGATTAGAACGACCTCATAGTTACTTCTGTATTTTCTTGTCTAGGTGATGAGAAAGAAAGGGAGAAAGAATATGAAGATGTGTCTTCTAGTTGCTACTCTCACTCAACAAGAGGACAAACAAAGGTGTAAGAGACAAACTAAACATCTTCATCAAAGATAAATTAATGCATGCTCATTGAATTTGTAGTTGAAAAGAAAAATTATTTTACATAATTGTTTTACAGTAATAAAATACATTTTAGTAGAATCTCAGAAAATGTATCAGTGTAAAAAGTCAGTGGTGGGTGAGTTCATACTGAAAAAATAGATACTGTCCTGTGTCAATGTGTATCTATGTGTCAACTACGTTTGTCTAAATCAGTGTTTCTTAACCCGGATTCCCTGGAACCCTAAGGTTCCACAAAAGGTCCCCAAAGGTTCCGCAAGAATAGATAAGCTAATGCACATTTGACTTTTTATTTAATTTCATATACATAATATTACTAAACACACAACATATTCTTGGTTATTGTAATATAGACATCATCCTATCTAACCTATTATATTATCAAAAAATTTCTTAGCCTATTTATTAGTTCACAGGACACTTTGCCTTGATTTACCTTATGTCTTTTCTTGTTCTGGGTATGACGATAAACTGCATCCATCAGCAAGGCTGCTGATTAGGAGGTTTTGAGGAGTGTGGAACCGCCTCTTAGTTGCTGTTGTTCCTGGGTCCACCCTGACCCAGGGTAGTAGCACCCATTAAGGTCCCAGCTATGGGTAAATAGTTTCCCCCCTCCCTTGATCTGGAGTCAGAATACTAGGAAAGTGTAAGAATGGGTTTTTTGTAATAATAATACCATCAACACAAATTGCAGTATATAAAGTGCACATTCACAAAACCTGATTTCAAAAAACTAAAATTTCCCCTTAATGGGGCCACCTGTTTGCCATGGGTGGCAACCTGTGATGCCTGGGGACAGAGTCCTGCCTGACTGAGTGACTCTGATCTGGTATAAAATGACCAGGAGTTTCCACAACATGTCACTTCGTCCCCTACCTGGGATAGACAGGCAGATGGAATAGCCCAATCCATTCCAATTGGCTAGTCACATAGTGGCAAGGGCTAGTTGGGATGATGGATAATGGGTCCAACAGGGCCACAAAACCTTACATCATACTATACTTGGATAGATATGGTGGGGGACTGCAGGTGCTTGTATCCACTTTCATCACAACTATACTGTCTGTGTAGCCTTGGCGGATTAGGGCAAATGGGATTAGTGGGGAGGAACTCCAAAGGTGAGCACAGACAGCAAATACAAAATTAAAATTATATGGCTATCTCTTATAAGCGAACCAAGAGACGATATGAAACTTCTGAAAGTGAAAATGAAATAGAAAAAATCAATTTCCAACTTTCATTGTTGTAGAATCAGTAGAGGGTGATATATCAAAAGTGTCTCCTTTTGTGTTGCAAACAGGTTATTTCAGACATAATCAAACCACAATTTGTTAAAAAATAAAAAAAAATAATACTCTATTAATTCAAGTGATATTCAAAAAAAGACGCAAAGAAATTGCTAAAAAATCAAGCAAATTGACAACAATAAAGTCAAGGCCTACCCCCATCAATTTCTTAATTCATCAAAAGGAGTAATAAAATGCCCAGAACTGTCACTTTGTTCATCTGAAAAAATTGAAAATGATGACATCCTAAAAAGCAAGGAAGTAACAAAATTAAAAAATGCAAGTAAAAAGAAATGATACAGTAATAAACACCAACATGTATATTTTGACATTCGACAAACTGATTCTACCAAAGGAAATAAAGATAAGTTACACAATAGCCAAGGTAGTGCCGTACATTCCTAATCCCTGTAGATGTCATAAATGTCAAAAATTTGGTAATCTTCAAAATGTTTGTACGATAACATCAGTCTGTTGAAGATGTGGGGAACCAGAAACTGAGCATGATGAATCACCTTTTGAAAGGCTGCCTTTATGTCCAAACTGTAAAGGAAAACATTCAGCAGACTCCAAAGAATGTAACATTTGGAAAAAGGAAAAGGAAATAATTAAAAGAAAATACATGCAAAATATCTCATTCCAAGAAGCCAGGAAACAGGTTGAATTTAATTCACTTCAAGCATCATATGCAAATAACACTAAAATATCAAATCAACAAAAAGTCATCCAAAAAAACAATGCATTAAGAAGCCAAGATCTTATAACTCTTAATAACGAATTAAGTAGTTTAATAGAACTACTAAAATGTAGTATATCACTCATAAATCAAACTCCCATAGACAAAAAAAATCCTGACCCGTCAACCTTAAACAAAAAAGTTTCTACATGTACAAAACAATTAAATCTGAAAATTCCAAACCAAAGAACAAAAATCCAAGAAATAGAAACCTCTAAATATTCTCAAGAGAATCAAAAGGTACATAAAAAAATAATTCAACTTTTAGTGAAGAATCAAGAGAAATGGACATAGAAAACAAAACTTTTAGCCCATCACAAATAAGGGAATGGTCATCATCTATACAAAGATCATTAAAAGAACCTAATGGAAAAACAAACTGTCAACGCAAACAAAATGACTCTACATCTACAAAACTATTAAACCCGAAAAATCCAAACGGAAAAAAAAATCCAAAAAATAAAACATTGAAACATTCTCAAGAGAATGAAAAAGATACAAAAAAAAAAAAAAAAAATTAATGAACCAAGAAAAATGGACATAGAGGAATAAAACTCGATCCCATCACAAACAAGGGAAAGATCATCATCTAGACAAAGTTCATTAAAAGAACTGAATCTTAAAACTAAGGGAGCAAAATCAAACAAGAAAGTAGAAAAAAAAATTTCAAAGAACAAAACATAACAAGAAACAAAACGCTTAATAGTCTGGAGAATATAGAAATGATGGACACTTCACCTATATTAAAAAAAAAAAAAATTGGACATGTAAAATTCATAATTCATAATCAAGATGCAAAACATTATTCAATGGAATTGTAACAGGGGTCAAAACACTATGAAAGTGTTCAAATAGGTTTTAATACCAGTTGTATCTTTGATTAAAATTATTACCACAAATACATTTTGAAAACCAAATGTTGCCATTTATGCATTTTGAAAAATAAATATTACCAGCAATTTTTTTTGAAAAAAAAAAAAATTTCATATATTATCCTAAGATATTTTTTTGAAAAAAAAAAAAAAAAAAATATTTGCCAGTGAGTATATTCCCTATGTTCTTCACAAGATTACCAGCAATAGAATTTTGAAGGAAAATATATCACGTATAAATTAAAAAAAAATAATTGTTTCTAACAATTTTAAGTTTTGTCGGCATTAAATAACCCAATGCGGTTGATTTGCCATAAAAAAAAAACCAAATCAAACCAATACTTTTGAAGATATTTAAATTTTAGTATTTGAAATAAATTTTGGTATCTCTGAATACTTAATTTGCATTTATTTTATTTTTTCCAGTACATATACTTATTCGAGGTCCAGGGAAAAAAAAGGACAAATTTATTTAACATCAATTTTTGTAGATAAGCTTTTGATAGAACACATAATGAATCGAAAAGATGGATTTATCGATTTGAAACTCAAGGGGGTCCTGTTTTAAACAAATATCGATAGAGGAAACAAATCGTAACCTACTTAACGAGTTATTGCACATGAATGGCAGAAAAGGGATGTTGAAATAAAACATAATTTACTATGCGCTACAAAGGACATCTGTTGTTTCAGCTTTATTCGCCAACGTCTTGAAGAAGAAGAAACAAACCTTGTAAATCTTTCTTTGAAGTATAGGAGCACCGACAAACATTTTAGGTTACTGCGGTGGTTCCTGTAGCAAGTTTGTTTTAAATGGATATTTACTATTGCAACTTACCCAAGAATTGTCTTTCTCCAAGAATCATTGCCAACCAAAAAAGAGAATCAATATCTGTTACTATATGTCTTAGCTGGGAAAATGAAAAGACGTTGATTCAAAAAGTTTCCAAGAATATTTCAGACCTTGCGAACGCGACGAACTCAAATAATAATAAATATGAATGACACCGATCCCATCTTTTTGCCGCTGATATTTTTGAACATATTCAATGGAGCCAGATAGTAATGTTACAATAAAAAATTTAATAAAATGAAGGATTGTCCATGATTATTAATTCATGATAATCACTTTCTGTCATATTATTTCACTTGCTTTATTGGCAGTTTTTCCAATTCTTCACCAGCAATATTATCTTGAATTGTATTATGAAATGCAGTATTAACAATTTTTCACATTTTCACATTAGATGAAAGCCATTCAAGTTGGTTAATAATTGTTGATGATTTTTTGATGAACATTTCTCATTTAGCATAACGATCTTTCGTATTTATTTTTTTGGCGACCTGGGTTAAATTTCATTCAATACAGAACAGAAAGCTTGGAAAGATCAATTTATTCTTTAATTTCATTTCACCCATTCTCATTGTATTCATATCCATGAAATAATTTCAACTAATTCACGGACGAAGGGAATTCTTGTAAAAACAAAATGACAATTGTGAAACATTGTTCTCAAATTTTTTCTTTAAACCAAAATCTTTCAAACAGTTAAATTCAGTACTTTTGCTTAACTTTTGCATTTTCGCTCGTCTAATTGTACCTAAAACACTGTTTGATTTTCGAACAAAACTCTAAATATATTTAATTTTCTGTAATTCCTTGATGTTGAAATTCATCTACACTCAGCTTTAAAACATTTGGGCTTTTTTTATTCTTGATGATTTGTTTTATTCTTCTTAAATATTTTGTTGTTTTTTTATCACCTTTCTACCACCTTTTCAAGCAATTAAATCAAAATTAATAATTTTTGATGATTTTCGAATTCCTCATATGAAATAACGCATGCAGTTTCCTCATATCCTTTGTTGGCGAGCTGGGTTCTGATTTATATTAATATAATTTAAGAGAAAGCTAGCAACGAATGATGTCATTCTCGATATATTTTTGTTCTTTAAAATAAAATGGGCATTATTATATCCATATTTAAGACTGACGAAAGTAAAAGGCATGAAAAAAA